AARGKWMCMWTWAAAAARAAATCAATATGCCTGAAACTGGGTGACGTTTTACTATGTGTTTCCTTTACAGTTGTATTGTGACTTGTGGAAGTGATGGTGATGTGAGAATTTGGGAAGACTTGGATGATGATGATCCTAAGTCCATTAATGTTGGAGAAAAGGCATATTCATGTGCTTTGAAGGTAGTAAACAGTCACATCAACTGATGTGAATGATACTGGCATGTGATAGTTCTACTTGAGTGAAAATCTTTTTTATAGAAGTTTTAAATGTAGATGAACCTTTTTGTTTTTTTCTCTTATGAAGTTATGTTTAAAGATGCATAATAACGCCACAGATTGCCCCAAAATTTTAAGGGTAAAATGGGAATGGTTTTTTGAAGGTGATTAATGAGTATTAATGATGAACAAATTAAGATATTTACAAGAGAATTGCGCTTTTAAGAAAAGTTAAAGTGTTCCCTTTTATTATTTGAGAGGAACATCAATGGGATGTTTGGCTTACTGCTATGATTTGATTGTCCCTCAGAAAGCTTATGTTGCAAACTTACTCCCCAACACCACATTAGTTGGTTGTGGGGCCTAATGAAAGATGATTAGGCCACTAATCATGATCTGCCCTCATGAATAGTTCAATGCTATTACTGTGGGAGTGAATTTGTCATTGCAGAACTTAGTTAATTTTAAAAGGGTGAGTTGGGTCCTCTTACTTGCTCTCTCTTTGCTCTTCTGTCATGGGATGACACATCAAGAAGGCATTCACTGAATGCGAATCTCTTTTTTTCTTCCACATTTTTTATTAGTGCACTGTGGTTGTACATAATGATGGGATTTGTTACATGTTCATACRTGCACATAGTGTAATAATATAATTTGACTAGATGCAAATCTCTTGATTTTGGACTTCTCAGCTTCCAAAATTATGAGCCAGTAAATTTCTGTTCATTATAAATTACCAGTCTGTGATATGGTTATAGCAGCACAAAATGGATTCAGACACTCACTAACTCAGATAATTTAAGAAGTTATTAAAGAAAATAGTAATGTTTCACTAACTTTCAATATATGCACATTTCACGTTTCCAATGTCTTGTGTGAAATAAATAAGAAACTGTGATATAGATTACTAAGAGAGTGAAGACATGTTTTCAGAAAATTAAGAATCTAAAAACCACTAAAATTTTTATTGTGATGAATTTTAATTTGGGTGTATTGTGTTTGGGTAAAAGAAAAATATCTTTCCAAACTCAGGCTCATTAAAGTAGAGGAGATGGTCTTAAAACATTTTATATATTCTTTTTAATAGGTCATATATAGTAGAAGATACATTCCATAAGAATAAATATAAATGAYCAATGTGTATTAAATATGAGCTGTCACTAATAAGCAAAGAAGTGCAAATTAAACAGTCAGGTTTTTCCCCCCCTATAAGATCAGCAAGGAAGCTGGGCATAGTGGTGCATGCCTGTAATCCCAGCAATTTGGGAAGCTGAGGCAGCAGTATCACAAGCTCAAAGCCAGCCTCAGAAACTTAGTGAGGCCCTAAGCAGCTTAGTGAGACCATATCTCCAAATAAAAAACTAAAATAAAAAGTGTTAGGGATGAGGCTTAGTGTTTAAGTCCCTGTCCCTCTGGATTCAATATCTGGTGCCCAAAAAAAAAAAAGATTGGCAAGGATAAAATATATTGCTAATCCCCAGTAACAGTTTAGGCTTAAAGAAGTATGAATATATTTAGTTTCTGGAAATATAAGTAAAAAACTTTAATTGTTCAATTTTAAAAATTTTTGCAGTACTTTTAAAGGTGATAGAATCTGGGAGTGCTTTACCCCTGAGCTACAATCCCTGGTACCTCCCATGCCCTCTTTGTATCCCCATACAAACAGGTTTTCATTAAGTTGCTGAAAGGCTGATGTTGAACTTGGGTTGATGCTGTCTCAGTATCCTGAGTCATTGGGATTACAGCCATGTGACATCAGGACTAGTTTTTTTTTTTTTTTTTTTTGGTACTGGAGATTGAACCCTTGGGTACTCAACCCCAAAACCAGTTAGTTGGTTTGTTTGGTAATGGGAATTGAATTCAGGGGCACTTAACCATTGGGCCCTTTTTCATGTTTTATTTAGGGACAGGGTTTCACTAAATTGTTTAGGGCCTCACTGAGTTGCTAAGGCTGGCTTTGAACTTGCAATCTTCTTTCCTCAGCCTCCCAAGCTGCTGGGATTATAGGTTTATTTTTTATTTTGAGACAGGACCTCACTGAGTTGCTCAGGTTGCCAAACCTGGCTTTGAATTTGCAATCCTCCTGCCTAAATCTCCCTAGCTACTGGGATTACAGTCATGAGCCAGGGAGCTGGCAATAAGACACTTTTTAAAAAGAGAAATTGATACACTGTATCAAAATTAGAATACTTAAATTGATACTATATATTAAAATTAAAATATTCACAGTCATTTCTGATTAGTTTTCTAGGAAAATATATACTTTCTAGTTTATGTGGACAAGGATTAGTAAAAAACACGTTATTTTTGAAATMTCAACTTTCAAAATAGCAACAGATAAAAAAATTGATGTTTCCATTAATCAAGAAGTTGGTTAATACATTTGATAAAGCTATACAATGGAATATAGTGCAACCACTAAAAAAAGAAAAGATATASTTTTATATGCCCTCATCTGAAAAAGATTTTGCTAGAAGTTGAAAATGAGAAAGTTGCAGAACATTCTATAGTATAGTGTTTGCTAAAATTATATGTCTGTGCACACATATATACACACATATTATTATTACTGTATTTTTATGAGTATAGAAAAATACTAAAAACACCAGGATGTTAGTGGCAATTACTTTAAAAGAGTAAGGAAACTCGTTCTTTCCTCA